GTGGCAAAATTTCAGTTGTTGCCATGTCATTGCAATAGCTGTGGCAGCTGCCGTGAAGAGCTTCCATTTGACATTACCTCACCGCTTCTAGAGGAGATACACCTGCCCCCAGATCATCTCTTTCAGCCCAGAGAAGTTCAGAAATGCAAAAGAAAATCAGGCAGGTCAGAACTGCCGATTCAAAGATTCAACTAAAATGATCTTCCCTGGGGCTTGCGTTTATCTGGCCAGGCTTCACCTCACGTGGGGAGAGAGTCTGCAGCAGCTCGAACAACGCGGGCAGAGCCATTTTCTCAGGACAAATTTCTCCCTGCAGCATAGCTGCAAGCCTCCTGGCAGTCGCTTAAACTAGAGTTAGCTGAAGATAATCCACTTCTCTGCTAGCCACCAGCTCTCTCACTGTACCAGCAGAACCACTTACCTGTTGCCACCATTGCTAACAACTGTTAAGTACAGGAGTAACCCTCTGAAATGTTGGGATGCTCCGCAGATATCTGAAAGAACAAGAAACCATAGCTGAAAATCTCAAAATTCAGAAACTGCTGGAGTTCCTCCCTTGCAAAAAACACAAGTCAGAAATGTTCACGTGGGACAGAAAGAGCTGTTAAAATACATTAAGTGCTTTGAGCTTGTTCTCCTCACCAGGTATCTACCCAAAATGGAGGCAGTGCTGAAACATGATATCACCTGGAGACATAAATTAGCTTGCTACTTAACAATACCTATTTGCAGGGTTCCTGTGCAACCCAACGGAAACAAAATGTTGCTTTCTTTAAGAGAGAGCTTGTCTAAACACTGCCTTTCCCCTCCTGGGATGAAACGCATTATAGTCTGCTCTTTTATGGTTTAGCTGAATTGAGCTGTGTTCTTCAGAAAACCAGCTATATTAATACTTGTGGTAAATTGAAAAATGCATTGGATCTTAACGATGGAAAGAACTCTATACACTTTTGCCACTGATTACTATGGGAAGTACAGTACAGAAATATTCTGTCCTAAACTCTACTATGCCAACTGAAGGTGAATTGCAGCTACGGTCCTGTTCAACAAATACTTAGGATCAATGCATACATATTACAATTTAAATAACTGCACTGAGTCAAGATTAATAATTGCATATATTATTAAAAAAATAGTTCATAGATATATTTCCAATTATAGTAGAAATACTCTTTTTTTATTTTAACTCCCATGACAAAAAAAAATAATAAAATCATCAGCTACTATAGAAACATGAAATTAGCAAATTATTTCAGTGCCTCCTGCTTTTAACAATACCACTCAACTGTATGATACATTGGCCTTGGGCACGAGGCTGGCTTAAAAATTCCCCTTCTCTCCACCCCTGCTGTGGACATTCATCCCCGTGTCTGCAGCGCACTTCACCGTTGCCTGAATCATGCTGATCAAATGGTTTCTGTGGTTGTGCTGAAAATGGAAACACTGACACGATCCTGCTGAGGGATAAAATAACCTTGTTCAAAAAAATAAGGTGATGTGGGTAGGGGAAAACGGGTGGGAAGGATTTCTAACTCAAGTAATTTTTGGATCTGTTTTGTGAGATGCTATTAGCACTATTGATGGGGCATAGTAAAGTGTGAAGAAAATGCAAAACTGAGGATCTCGGTCTGTAAACTTCTTAAACTGGAATTTTCATTGAACTACAACATTTTGTGCAGTAAACACTGCACCAAACGGATTGATCTGCAATTGGCTTTCTTGTTTCTGAAAAATAGTCACAGTACAGACCAAGCACAGAAGAGTCTATAGAAATCAAGATCCATGCAACCTACCTCGGGATAAATCAGCTGAGGCTGTCAACAAATGGAGAATAAACCAAATATGCGCAGACTTTGAAGTGAATCAGTTATGACTGATGTGCTTTGGGAAGCTCCTCTACTCCCTTGGCTTGTGCTGCTGCTGAAAAATTGTTCGCCTTTGTGGCACGTGTTCTCATCAGGAGCACGCAAAAAGCTATATAACAGCTACTTAACTGAGATACAAACACATTGTGGAACTATATTTTAGTTAATTTTCCTTGGTGATACCATGTCAATTGGCACAACTATAGATTTCTCTTAACCATTTACATTATTTTGCATGCACATGTGTAATGTAGTGTTGTTATCAAGGTTTTAAAGTATTAGCCACTGTGACAGCCAGGTACTACATCAGCAATGTTCATACTGACGCCAGCCCAGCTTCTGTCGAGCTTTTTCCAAGTGACACCACGGTAATGTGAATCTTGGCCATTTGTTCTGCTGACTGATATGTTAAAAATATAACAAGTATGGCTCATGCTACCTTGCTCTTCCTAGACTATGAAATTCTGCTCTTAGAAATTATTTTACTCCCTTATACCTAGGATATAACATTTCTGATATTAAATGCTGATTAAGAGACATATTTGAAGTAATCTGTGCATGGGCAATGACAAGGAGTTTTAATTCAGTGGAACACACTACCCAAAACTGAGGCACAATTTCTAACGATGGGAAGGCCACACACTGTACTTTTACCTCTGTGTGGTTTGTAAAGGTACAGCCAGAGGAAACTGTGTCACAGAAGGGGGTAAGGATATCACTCTTTAGAGTTTGGGTTGTTGGTTTTTTTTTTAATTATTCATCACAATAAGAATTTTTTTCACAGATTTGACAAAGACATATTCTATAATTTATATAACATCTCCAGATTATTATTTTTTAAATTTTACTCTTTGTTCTCCTAATTTCTGCTAAAGGAGCTATCTCCTTGCACATCTGAAAGTAGGTTGCACAAAAATGCACAACACTGAGAACTGTCCTCCAACAGCAAGGACAATAGAGGGAATAAGCTCCTTCCATTTCTGGTTACAATGATTTGTCCAGTATAGGCAAAGAAAAGACTATGCAACACAAGCAATTAATAAGTACACAAAGTACACAAGTGTGTTTATTACATTTTTGCAAGCACTTTGTTCTACATTTCAAAAACGCCACCATCAAGCTGTTGGCACATTTATGTACAAAACAGATTAATTGTAATGCCTGCTACAAAGCATTCTTTGTGAAAATACAAACTCTAATACCAGAGAAGAGCCAAAAGCATTAACATCATTACATGAGTTTAAAAGACATAGTTTTAAAAATCAGCACAAACGTTTTAAGACACAAAACTGAAACACTACAATATAGAATCCAAAAGAGGTTTCTAATACTTTTTGCAGAACTGTAATACCGGTACTGCACATTATCAGAAAACTGTTGACCCCGTAGGACAGCCTAAGTGTAAAAAAAACCAAAACCAAACCAAAACCCCAAATCAAAAACACAACCAAAAAACCCCCAAAACAAGCAAAAGAAAAGAAACAGAAAAATAATTCAATCAACTAATACTACTTAATGCATTATCATGCCACAAATAACTATAGTATTACCCTCTACTTACTACAAGAATTGGTAAAAATTACTGATGATGCATGACTAGTAATAGTACAAAGAAGAGTTTTACTCAAGAAGTTTTATTAGAAATGCACTTACACTGAGAGAGAATTCACAATGGTCCAATAAGTGCACAAAACTACCTAAGATTTTTAACACTGACAAAAATGTCTTGTCAGGCTACATCACTTTAAGAGACACTTTACAGCATTCTTGTAGCATTAGAAATAGGCAAAAAAAAAAAAATCCACCAAATTTGGTCCAATAATACTGACTTTTCTTAAATAGGGTTTTTTGTTTTGTTTTTGATACAGGTAATTCTTTCAAATTAAGATGACCTATCTTTCTGATAACATTTTCCTATCAAAATAAAGGTTCAAATATATTACTACACTTTCAAATAATAAGCTCTGTAGTGGTCTTTCACTTTACTTTAACGTAATACAGGTAAACCAATATGTGTAGGAAAGCTAGAAGCCAAGCTATAACATTTATGGAAGTCTCCTTTAATATATCTTTTACAGTTCAGACAGGTGCAATCCATTTAAATTTTTAAAGCAGGTAAAAAGACATCTGACTCCTACGGTCACTGTATTTTTGATATATTACTTTCATAAATGTAGCTAAGCAGTAATTTCTTACATCACCACATGAACAACTCCAATTTAGCATAACCATCATTGATTTAAAGAGAGATCATTCTGTAAAAAACTATGGAGAACTATATCACTTAAGTAACAATTGTCTATATACCATAACTCTTTAACAGGTAGCCGTGGTATTGAATTCCTTCAAAAGGCAAGTGGCCATGCATTGTTAGCACCACGGTCTGCATGCTCACAATACAAACAGGAATTATCACCCATGGAACTTGGAACAAGAGAATATTCTTTAAAAACATCAATAATAATACAATGTTAACAAAGATAAGAAGCACTTTTTTCTTTTTTTTTTCTTTTTTTTTTTCTCTTTTTTTTTCTTTTTTTTTACCCACTATTACAAATTTAGAAATTGCACCTTTGATTGTTTAAAACGTTCTTAGGACCTTCGTTCAAGTTGATCAGGGTCCATCTGGCAAGTTTTCCAAAGATAAAGGAAAGTCATCAGAGGGTTTTCTTTATATATTGTACATCATGTACAATGGTCCCTTTGAAGTATACCTGTAGTTAAAGTAGTTATTGAACTCAAAACTAAAAAGTATAAAAAGCTACTTTTTTTTTTTCAAAAAACATATAAGAAACAATGCAAAAGGTGTTATGCATAACACATACAAAGTGATTAAAAAAATCAAACACATATTTGTATTTGACAATAGTTTAGTATCCTTGATCTAGCAGAACTAATTAGCTGAGGAGGATTCAGGAAAGACTATTTAGGAGCTTTGTGGTAGAGAATGGTCACACAAAGTAAGAACTAATTAAGAAACCAAGTGCTAGACAACCAAGAATTGTACATGGGTGATAGGTAAGTCACCCAAACTACATTTTGTGAGAAGCACTTTCAATTGTTTTTTAAATGGTTGGATGGCCTTTAGTTAAACAACAAAGCATTCACATGTTAGAAAGTAAGACAAGGTTTCTTTTATGTGTAAGCGTTGAGCCGCTCTTTAGAGCGAGTGGAATGAATATCATGAAGCTCTTGTTCCTCCTTTGACTTAATATCCTCATATTTTTGCATTCTGCAAGCATCTTTCACATAGGCCCAGTTGGCAGACAAGACCATGAGATAATGGACCTGTAAGAGAGGTAACAACGAGTTAGGAACCAACAGAGCAGACAGAACAGAGCAAGTTCATACCTGAAAAGCTCAAGGATAAAGATTGGGTTTTCATCAGAAGGAACTAAGCATTGTTAAGAAGTGCTACAGCAATACGATGTGAAGTTCAAGCTTGAGCTTCATTAATCCTCAGATTACTCAACTCACAGCTGTTACTGTTACCATGACTAGCAGTCAGTAGCAATGGCTATAAAAAAAAAATTAAAAGAACCACAAAAATCAACAAATCATCCCTGCTTTACTATTTCAGCTAGTCTGCAAATCTATGCGGAAAAATGCCTTCTAGTTATTTCTCGTAGCTTTTTCCCCATTGAATGACTTTGTTAAAGTAGTTGCTTAAGATAGAAATATGCCATAGACATATCTGTAGTCTTATGATGACATATCTAATATAATTACAGAAAGATTTGCTTTTTCTTTCTCATTAAAGTTAGCATTAGCTTTCCGTGATTCCTTTCTTTCTTCTACAACTCTCGCTATTTTCTCCAAACCAGCTAATTTGAGAAAAAATTGTCAAAAACTGAAAAATATGTTCAGCTGGGCAAAATGGGATAAAATATAAATAAACTTGAAGTCTTAAATGGGCACACACCTGTCACCATTTAATTTATTAATTTTATTTCACTGTCATATTAGTCATAGCAAAATTTATTTATGTGAGTCCTTAAAATGTATAAAAAAAAGTTACTTGTATGAGTTCAAAAGACAACTTTTGTATACATCTTGCATGGAGCAGAAACAATGTTCATGTTCCTTTTAAATTGTAAAAAAAATGTACACAAAACATTTATTTATTTTTTAAAAAGAACAAAATTAAGAGTTTTCAAAGTGTTCTGTCCAAAAACAACATAAAAAATTATCTGAAAACCAGGGGGAAAAAACACACAGCCTGTGATTATTACACAACTTATTGGTGGGTATTGGAGATTGGACCTGACTCACTTGCAGCCAACATAAATCACTGGATGAGCCATGATGATACACTCCCAAAGAGTTTATTTGTGTTAGCAATGGGGAGGACAGAATGTCTATGAATACATCTGAGGATTAAACACCAGTTACAGGATATTGGCAATATTGTCGCATGAACAAATGTTTTTCTTGTGGCTTTGAATAAATTTAATCTAAAAGTCAGTGAAAGGTATCTTACCAGTTGAAAAAAAAATTCTGAAAATGTTTTCCATTATAAATAGAGGTTGTAAAACACCCAAATTGCCTTTGAGATGGAGCTTAGTAGTTTATAAGAATCACATGGTGTGGCTGCCAGTGACTGACCTTAACAACCACTAGATGTCCAACCTTCTGAATGGTGACAATGAAGGATGAAACAAGTGATAAATTTTAACACATCACCAATTCAAGGAACAAAGCTGAAGCCTCCAAGGAACTGATGCCAAAAATACTTTATTCAAAACGCCTCCTTCAGGGGTGGCCACATGCTATCTGCATTCAGTCCCTTTTGGAGTTAGCTTGCTTAGTCTTCACACTTGTGGCCACCTACAGTCTACTTCGGCTGTCTGTTAGACCAACACTTCAGCTTCCCAGGTCTGGGCCTTTCAGGACATTTGCAGACTTTGAAAACTTTCATTTTGAAGGTGGACCTCAAATGTCCTACCTTCAGTCTGCTGGATCTGCTTGCAAGGAGCCTCTGACCTTCTCAAAATGTATCCCACTCTCACCTTAGGATGTGCTCTGCTGGCTGTGTTTTCAGCCGGAAAATAAAAAAAAGTTCAGTAATGGTATTCAACTGGTTTATTCTAGGACTCTCTGGATGTTTATTCCTCCCCTAGCAGGCTTTCAGACACTTTCTAATGAGAGCATCTCTTATATTTATGTTAACCAACTGCCTCAGAGGCCACAGATCATTTCCTGAAATCAAAAAGATTCTACCCCTCCTAAGAAATCGAGAAAATAAACTATGATTCAATTAGTGGAAAATGGAATAGAGTAATCTTAAAACCACTTTGAGATTATGCAAATTGTCCTTTTCATATTGGACTGTTGTAGATATATAAAAGTATCTTAGATTCATACTAGATGAACAGAACCAATTTAGTATGTTCTTTCTTTTTTTACAAATGTTTGATGGCAACTGTTGCTGATTAGTGCATGCATTTCTTAATCTGGATAATTCAGATCAAGGAAAGCATTCTGAAACCTTTCAAAGGACCAAATATTTTTGGTGTCTTTTTGGTCCTGGTGGATTATGGCAAGCTTTCACCCAGTTAATCCCTATTTGAAGAATACAGTCTGAGCTGAAGAGCCATAAAATAGGAAGAAGGGCTCAGGGAATATTTCCTCTAGGAAAACGAGTACAGATAGTAGTATTTCTATATATCTTTAGGGGTTTCTTAATATCTACAGTACAATACTAGCAGAACAACCTGTGATGATAGTGCAAGTGCTGGAGATGGCAACATGTACTGTGTTACTCTGGGACACCTTCTGGCCATAATTTAGCACACAGGAAAAAGAATCTAACTCAGATGTTGCAAAGCTTTGACCATAAGTAGTCTGGATCAGGCATTTCTAGATCAAATCAGAGGCGCTAATGCTGAATTCCCATTGAGCCAAACTAAATGCCTCGAATTTCCTCCACAGTAAAACTCTTGAGAAAAATCGAAGGAAACAGGATGGTAATCCTGATAATTCTGTCAATTATTCAGACAATTACAGTTTCCATCCAATGAAAACACCAGTTCTGGTCCTTTGAGGGTAAGATCTCAATTAAAAAAAAACCATAATCTGAACCTCAGACAGATTGTAGACATGCGAATCCTAGAAGTGGGAGGTATCTGAGCAGTGTATTCACATCTTCCTGGCTTCTTAAAACACATCTGCCAGAAAACCTTGCAACTGTCAAGAATATATGATGAAAATGGGACCATGTAGGCACACTTCTTACCCTCACAAATGACCCAGTAAAAGACAAATTTAAACCTAATGTCTTGCAGTTTCACTATACTGAAGGTACATTGGCCACCGTCTGACCTTCATTTAACTCCCATTCTTCACCCATCCCTTGCTTAAAAAGTTGCAGAACCACACTTCTGGCATAACTGTTGAAAACTCTTAGAGTTCACATTCACTACAAGTAGGATGACTTTTCTGGAAGTAACTACTTTAGCTTATATAATGAATATAATCTCAAACACATATCCATGTTATGTAACGGCATATACGCTTAACAGTCCCACCATATATGGTTTTTTGTTTAACACCAAGTTCCTAGATAACACACTAAGGAGGTCATCTCTAAGTGGCTGTCTAATTGCATTTTGCAATTCCGTGACCTGAATAGCCTGAAGCCAGCGGGACTGTGCCGTGTCAGGGCTTATTCAAATTGAAGCAGGGCAGCTTCCCCAGTCTGCCTCAGGATGTTTCAATTACAGACATATGCAAGGCAGTGTAGGGTCTCCCTGTAACCTATGAAAATTTCCTGCTTAGATTTCTTCATAAGGTGGAAGTATGCTTCAATCTTTCAAAACTGTAGAATTGCATCTAGGTTAGGAAGGGGTTTGGCTTTGCTTTGGTTTTGTTTTCTTTTTGGGACACGTCATTATTTTAGCAGTGCAGAAGTCTAAATAACTATTTCCTTCTCTTACATGCATCTAATGTCCTCCAGAAGAACACAATCCTACTGGGGGAGAGAAACTAGACCACTTACACATTTCCCCTGTTCTTGTTTCAGGAGAATTGATTGCATCTCCATCTTACAGGACGTAACTTCTGTGGAAGTTCAGGCAGAAGAGTACTTCTCACATGGTAACTTTTGAGAAAGGAAACTGTGTATCTCATAATTTAGTTTTGCTGTAGTGGTTTGGGGAAAATAGCAGAGGCAGGATGCTTAGTAACCTTACAATCAGCCCTTTGGGATGGTAGAATCTATGTTTGAACAACTTTGTGTTTCTATCTGACACAACACTGAAAACAGTAAAACTAATACATATTACTTCAATGATTATTTCTGTACCCATTTATTACACATTCAGACATAAGAAAGAACAGTAATGTTCAGAATCATACATAGTCCAAATTAAGTATTGTTCAAAATCCTGGCTATTTTTTTGTGCTCAAGACTCATAAAAAGCATCTACAACATAAATAATTCTATCAGTTTGGGTTTTTTTTCGTCTTGGGCTGAAGTCTAAGAATGATAAATTTTCAAAACGAACTATTTGATATTTTCCTTCTCTGCAAAACAAAGCTTTCCATGACATATACTGTAAAAAAAATACATGAGTTTTTCTATATATCAATTCTAACTTGTGGGCCAGTTCTCTTATTGAACACCAAAACAGCATTCTCCTTTGGAAACTAAAGAGGCAGCTAGTGAATTGTGAAAAAATTCTAATATTCATATACAAATCTGAGAGCAAGAGAGAGATTAAAGTAGTAGATATGTGAAAATTATGACTTGTGACCAAATGGTTTTGCGAGTACTAACAATTTTTTTTGTGGTTTTTGCAATAAGTGACTGCATTTTTCTAAAATATATTTTAAAAATACATATTAATGAAAAGTATCCTGGTGACAAATAGTCTTAATATTCATGAACAAGCTGATATCTTTGGTGAATTTCTTGACAAATATTGACATTAAAAGAGTTAAATAAATCAACACATATTAAATCTGGCTCTTGCAAATGTCCACAAATCCAGAAGTGAGGATATAGTGGAGCATATCAATATCATGAATTAAAATGTCATTTAAAAGAGCAGGTTTTGCCAATTCAGTTATTCAACAGTCTCACTGATGATGCACTATTATTACTGCCTGATAATAAATACAAAATACTTCCTACTATAGTCAGATAGACTACTCTAGTTTACAGTAAATGTTTGCAAGACATGTTTTAAAACTGCAATAAATTCATAAGCTTTCTCTTTTATAAAGGACTGGTATTTTAATCTCATGTTTCTGTTGAGAAGTCTGGTGAAGTTTCACAAATGTGGAGATCTGCTACCGTTGTGGATATACACAACTTCATTAAATCCTATTAGTGATTATTCTTGCAATGGCACATAAGGGGAAGGGCATTGGTTCTCCAGTGACTGAAATGGCTTCTGCACACTTTGTTCCTCACCCTAGCCTATTGCTGATACCTTACCACCTTCTACTAATTAGAGTGTAGGAACTGGGGAAGAAAGATGCTTTCTTCTTTCTATATGAGATATTTAGGACTCAAAATTCATTTTCCCTCCCCTAAATTAGTTTTTCCTCAGGAAAGCAAACTTCCCTCAAAGAAAGACAACCTGTTAATACCTGTTTCTCCAACCACAAAATTCTGAACTTTCCCTCATGTCCTGTCCCCAGTCTTTGGGGACACATGTGAAGTACATTGCTCAACCTATAAATGGGGTCTGGTACTCCGGTTTTAAAAATTACCACCATCGAAGAGTGGAATGTGCTAGTCTTCACCAGGAACCTAACATCACAGTGGCAGGTTAAAAACAAACAACTTAATGATGAAATCAAAATATAGACAACACAGTTGCAACCATTTCATAAAGCATACATTTACCAGCATTTTGACGCTACATAAGTTACTAGCACTTAGATCCTTAACTTATATTTCTGTTGAAACAGTCAGAGTGTTACCATGCCTGCTCTATGCAGTCACAGAATCTGACAAAAAGCATACTTGCATAAATATAAGCCATCAAAGTGAATTCCCAGTGGATTAGTGCTTGGTGTAACATCTGTGGCATCTTTGATATGGTACTGTGAGCTTTGAAGGGGTTTTTTTAAACTTCATTGAAAGTATCACATATTTAAACTACGTGGCTCAATGTACCTACTTAATTTGCTTCCACTGATGATGTGTCTGTTTTCACTGAAAATGTTTCGGTAGCTATTCTGTTTCAAAAATCTTCTTTCAAATGAAGAATTGTCATCTGAACAAATCAGCATTTGATAACTACTATTCAAACCAATAATGCATTGGAGAACTAATGGTCTTTTGGATATACTTTCCTAATTCTAATATATATATATATATATGTTACAGTAATTACTATTTGGTCACCATTTTTTCAGCTGGAAGCAGAAAATTATCAGTTTGGAAAATCGATTAGATTATTAATATACATTATATTCTACTAATATAGTTATTATTTGTGGTCAAATAATAATGACAGGGTGTCATCTAATACTAAAAAAAGGCAAAGAAGAACAAAAAAAAATCACTAATGCAACAAGATACTGGCTTCATTTAACATTCCCTAATTGTCCTTTTTTATAAATAGAATTCCAAGGAGAACGAAAAATTTATGGCTCTAGGATTCAATGAAAAATTACTAGTAGCAGTAGTTATAGTAATCACCATCACTAACACTTTTCTTAGGGAATGCATCAGTACCAAGTAACAGTCATTTTTCATTTCCCATTCCAGTGTGCATCATACAAACCCACACTGGTACAGAATCCCCATTCTAAAAATATGTTTAAGCAGACAAAAGGCAGAAGAGCAGGGCAGTAGTTCATACACTTTTTTCTCAGTGGAACATTGTCATTGGCAAAATGTCATCAAATTCAAAGTAATCTTCATTATAAAAAAAAAGCAAAAATTAGTCCTGGCAGAAGAACTGACACATTCACATATAGGCACAGAGCTGACAAGAAGAGTCTGCTCCTAAAATAGCAGCATGGCAAGCCTGCGAATACCCAGAAAGTCATAGATCATAAAAGGATATTACTATGGTCATGAGACAGACACATGAGTTCAGACACTTGTCTGAACACAGTAAAAGAATAGTAAGAATTTTTAGCATGTACTCAAAGGTGGTTTGTTATTAAAAAAAGTAATCATTATATTCTACTTCAAATCAATATGTTTAAAAAAGAAGACGAGTATTGAATTACAGAATTGTATTTTAGTAATAGCATTGAGTGAAAGTATGGAAATTGAAAAACTGATACTAACTAACCACCGGAATGTATTAGCAATTCACATGATGAAGGAAGTCCAGAGCGTTGGATAGCTTACCATAGCAATGACCGCTGCTCCAGCTCCAGCAAGAGCCACAATGAACAAGTGGAATGTCATGTTTAGCTGCAAAGGAGGACAAAGAAAGGGACTTTCATGGTGGTACACAAAACAGAAACTGAACAAAAAGTCTGAATAATGTTGAACAAATAACTACCTTCCTGTTGCCACCCTTCTACAAAAGTAATGATTACTAATACTTTTTCCAAGATTGACATCACTACATGACATTGTGCTTGTGCCTGTTTTGTTACAATACTCATATCAGCAGTAAAGCGTAATTCTGTTTAAAATATTGTATTTCAGTTGTAAAATATTAAAACTTCCAATTATTTAAAAATAAATGCTCCAGCACTTTTTTTTTTTTTTTTTCAGTTACAGTAGTATCTTACTAGATCTACAAATGTTTGTGGTGTTTTCTCTAGTGGCAGAGACAGCCTAAGAAAATCCCGTTTCCCTTCATTAGCTGTAGTTTTCCACCCTCATATATTGATTTACTTCCCTCCCAAATTTGCCAATAAAATTTGTTCACAGTGATATAATATAAACCAGCTTACTTAAATAATCCATGTTAACCACCTTCCTCACCCCAACCCAAACCAAATGATTACATTTGTTCTTAATTTCAGTGATCTGGTTTACATAGCAGCCAGTGTTGACTGCACAGCAAAGGTTGCATTTGCTTTTGGTATAAAGACAGATTGTGCACCTGCACTCTAAGAAGACTTATTCAGACATAGTAAGAACCAGTGAAACGTTTAGCAAAGCACCCTCTGACTTCAGCCTTTTTTATTGTCTCTTTTTGGTTTAGATAGATGTAATTTTGTTTGTCCTGTCTTCATCCCTGATCATTTAAAAACAAATCAAAAAATCTCAGCTGCACTGAAATAGGTGGTCTTTGCCTAACGTAAAAACTACAGAGAAAAATGTACTAGGAGTTATTATCCTAAGATACTGCAAGATTTGATCAAATCCATTTGAAATCTTTACTCTCCTGTCACAACAGTAATCATAAGATCTTCAAATAGTGATTCATTATATAGAACTATTCATTGTGCAGCCAGGTGCATTAGCTTTTGAAAACATCTCAGTAAAAATACACATGACAATGGAATTCTTAAAAAAAACCCACAAATGTATTTACAAAACAATTGGCTGGAGAAATTGCACTGACTAAATTTGCTACATGGTAAAAGACTAGGAAAAGTATTTGCTGACTGTATTTTCCACTGGGATTTTATTTCACCACCATAGCTAGAATTAGGCCATTAAGTGTAAGAAGAAAACACAGATAGGTTACTTCCTACTATAACATATATTATGGATTTGCCAAAAATATGATCACATTTATTCACCTCATTAGAGTCACACATCTTGATGAAACTTTCTGATGTGGTGCAAACCTTCTTTTCCTCTCCAATAGTTACAATACCTGGAGCAGAATAAACATTCACAGCATTTAGAACTCCTAGTACATAGCAATTTATTTCATATGAGCCAGAAAAAGCTAAGAAAAACAAATATTTTTTTAACAACAAAATCAGTTTTTTGTTGGCAATCGGGGGCTGGAGCACCTCCTGTGTGAGGACTGGCTGAGAGAGTTGGGCTTGTTTAGCCTAGAGAAGAGAAAGCTCCAAGGAGACCTTACAGAGGCCTTCCAGTACTTAAAGGGGGCGTACAGGAAAGATGGAGGGGACTTTTTATCATGGAGTGTACTGATAGAAAGAGGGGTAACAGTTTTAAACTGAAAGAGGGTAGATTTAGATTAGATATTAAGAAGAAATCCTTTACTGTGAGGGTGATGAGACACTGGAACAGTTTGCCCAGAGAAGCTGTGGATGCTCCATCCTTGGAAGTGTCCAAGGCCAGGCTGGATGGCACTTTGAGCAGCCTGATCTATTGGAAGGTGTCCCTCTCCATGGCAGGGGGATTGGAACTAGATCATCTTTAAGGTCCCTTCCAACCCAAACCATTCTATGATTCTGTGATAATTTCAGCCATCACAAAACTAACACATGATTTATCTAGCAAAAGCCCTAGTAGGAAATATGTAGGTAATAATTTTTCAGCTATTTTTGAAAATATCTTCATTCCAGATTTTGATCAGCACAATAATCAAAACACCAGAAAATTATTTGCAACCAGTATATATTTGCAACCAGTATATATGCTTACCATGTTGTTTACAAACATTCTCTACCCTCATGTGGAGAAATGTGCTATATAGTATTTTCAGACATGTTGATCTGGTACAAAGCTTCTTTTACAAGTTATAAAAAGGCATTACCCAAACTTATACTTCAGTGTAATAATAGTTTCTCTATCAGCAACAATAATTAGAATCTGCTATACTGTTTCTTCAGCTAATGTCTGGATACTAAATCAATGACTAGCTTGAAGAAAACTGCTATAACTCAGTTATCATAAAAAATGGTACTGTTCTTTCCTGTTAGTAAGCAGCAGTTTTTACAATGAATTTACAGGTACATTCATATAATACACATTTTATATGTTAGTATTCTATGCACATTTTAAATAGAGTTAATAACAAAAAATAGGCATGAATATTAGCAAAAAAAAAAAGCTCATAGAAAGAAGAATGAATACTCTTTATGAGATCTGCACAGATAACTGCTTTTTCAAGTCACCTGTCATGCTGGGGGCGGGGGGGGGGAGGAATCAATAAATTAAGAAAATATTTTTTTCCCCCTCATGAAAACAATAAAGTGAAAAATTTTACTTCAGGTTAAGTGTAATGTTTAATATGAACCAGACAATTTTGTTCCAAGCAATACAGCATTTTTTATATCTTAAAATAGCAATTAAAAATATACTGCAATTTTATATTAGGCCAAGGCAATAAAAGGAGGACTCAAGGAACTGCCTGCGAGAGTATGATTACCCAAAGCTCTGTGGGCTGAGAAACCACTGAGACCAGAACATCTAGTGTCAAGTCACTCTTGCAGCACAAAGGAATTGAATTACCATCACCAACAAAAGAATTCTCAGACTGTTTAAGATTCCAAAACCCCCTTTTGTTCAAATGTCCCATTTCCCCCAAACACACATATGTGTATACCCCCACTTTATTCTAACCTCCACAGTTCAGGCTTTAGCCCCGCTCTGTCTCTCCACCAGCCTCTTAGAGTGTTACAATTGGTATTGTTGATCTTCATCAAAATTTTTGCAAGCAATGAATCTTGTCCTGTTCCAACTCACCTCTAGGCTCTGCAGAGACAGATGATAACCTAGGATCTCCCATCTCCAAATCAGTGTCCTACCACAAGATTAAAGAGTCATTCTCCAGATAAATGACTAATTAAGCATTTTAGACAAGTTCCAGCAATTCCAAAAGAAGAGACTGAACAGAAGCCCCAAACCAAATTTTCAGTACTCTGGGAAGATGGACAATATTGATTCAATTTTGTCAGGCCTGAAAATGCAGTGCGTCTCTAATATACTGCCTTGACGAGTGGGTACAAGGATAGAAATAGACGCTTAATAACAGTTTGAGAAACACCGAAACATTTCAGATACATGGAAGCAAAGCAGTGTGATGCATTTTTTTGTGAAATATTTGCTTTATTTTTGGTGCTCTTCATTCACCTACCATACTGGCGAAGATCCAAGCAGAGATTAGCTCCATCCACTATGGTGGCATTTCGGCAAATGGTCCACAGATTGAAGTACATGTAAACAGGCAGAGAAGTGAAAGCTGTAACGCCAAGCCAAGCCAACATAAAGATGTATGTCAGCATAATAAACTGCAGTAAAAGAGGGAAAAACAAAACCAGTGGTAAGTCAGAATTTAACTGATACTCCATTTCAAAAAAGGAACCACAGAGAAGTAACGAATGTATTTCTGACTGGTTTTGTCTGTTTCTGTCCTTATTTGAATCACAGTTTTGGTCTGATAATCAATTCATGATCTGGTCAAAGTGAGTGACAGAGCACTAATGTGATGTTTCTGAAGAACAAGCAGTTATGCTTCCAGAAGTGCAAGCTTACTCTACATTCCTGTCAGTCTTTGGCCTATGATTGATGCAAAGCTCCACATCTGAAGTGCAGACAGCTGCATGCTTTGTGAAGTATGTCTCTCCCTCTCCCATCACCACTACTCCATAGTTAAGACAAGAGGCCACATGGTTGTTTTTTCCACTGTCAATCACGATGCAAACAAGTTAGAATGAAATACTATAGGCTTTGCCTTCTTTTGCTTTTAAAATCTGGGTCTTAAAAACCCCAAGTCATTATCCATGGCTGCCACAGAATCTCACTGGCAAATCCATTTTGCACTGAACCAATAAGACAATATATTTGTCATTTTGTTACTGTATTTAGACATATTTCACAGAATCATATTTGGGGTCTACATACAAGGGAATTAGTCATTCAGCAGAAACTAGGGTGCTTGCCTCTGTTACCAAGAAATGCATTAAGTCACGTGCTTTGCAACAAGTGTTCGCCAATGGCCACGCATTTTCTTTTTTTAGCTGTGAGCCTCAACCTGCATGTAGGAGGCATTGAACTCTACTTGCCTGTAGTTATGCTGGCACACCCAGCTTCTTTAAATGTGTAAGCATGGTACATTACTACTCTGCTACTAACCTAAGACGACTAGCAGATGCATTCATCAATAAAAAATTCCCTTTTCATTTTATGCTGTGGAAAGGATATGAAGATGCTACATGGTAAAATGTGGAAGATAAGTCAGCCTCTAAATGTTGAATCCAAATAGCCCCAAGATTTTATGGCTTCAGAACTGCTGATGAATCTAAATACATTACTGAAACAAAAAAAATTTCAGCACACGAACATTTTTGTTGCTGCTTACCACAGAAAAACGTTGACTCTGAGAATAAGAAATAAGAGCTATTTTTGAAAGCTGAATAAGCTGGTCCACAATCTGTCTTAAAATTAAACCTTAAAGAGTAAATAAGGGGAAAATGGAAGTGGTTTTCTAGTTATTTTTTAATGTAAGATCTCTCACATCAGGTGATAGAGGAAAAAGCCTAATATAAATACAGATTTTATTTATGGACATCAAATAAGGTCAGACTCAACAGGGTTGTAAATGGTAGTAAAAATTGTTAGACAGGTGACTTGTCCATGTGAACCTGATCAGGAAAAGCAATCTAAAAAAATAAAATATTTGAATTTAAGTGAGGTAGTTTTATTACTTTGAAGGTATGGGATGGACATTCTCAAGCAATATTAGAGAGACCTTAATTTGATTTACTTTAACTCACTTCCAAAGAATATTAAATAAAAGCCATTTTAATTCTGAGGAAGTGTATTTACATAGGGATTTAATATAGTTTAATTAATCCAGTTTAAAATTCAATTCAGATTAATTTTCCTGATTGTCCCTAGGTAGATGAGCCTTTCAACACTAGTTTGAAAAGCTGGAGAATTTATAGCACTGAGAATAATTATCAGAAGGATGCAGGAAAGCAAAAGGTAAAAAGGAACAAAGAACAGAGGTATTCTGTTTAATATTTTGTGTATCTGCTTTCTATCATTTTCTTTATTCAGCACACTTCAGCTTTACATGCCAGTTTGTAAGCTATGAACCATTTTAACTTCTCCCTTAACATCAAACTAGTTTAAAAGGGAAACTGGTGATAGCAAAGCCTATAATAAATATACACCCTTGAATGTTACAGAGGGCTTTTCTGGGTGTCAGTTTCTTTATATCATGGAAATTCTATTCCATCTCTTGCAGAGACAACAGTCAATACCAGTAAATATTGTTCTGTACACAGTCCTATACTCCTAATTTTTTTTCATTATTGGTCCTTTATTGTTTTGTTGGGTTTTTTTCTCTCCATATTACAGTGCTAAAGCTAATGAGACAACATCTGGTTCAACCCCAGGCACTCATTTACAAATAATTACTTGGAAAATTACTTGGAAATCTAGACTCACTTCAGGGCTATGAATTCTCAGCTAAAGTGTTATGTCTGATCTTAATTTATTATCAAGCTATGGAGTTGTACTCACTTTTTCTAAAGCAGGAGCAAGAAATAAGAAAGAGACCTTTCTGTGTGTTCTCAGAGCAGCCTTTAAAATCTGAGTTTACTAAATTCTAGGAGTATTTAAAATGTAAAACCAGCCTCCTAGCTTATATTCTATCGGTTTGCCAAAACCAGGTAAGTCTGAGGCCTTATTTTTGAGCCTCCTTCTAGAATTTCTGAGTTAAATCATATTTAATAAATTTAGTACATCTCTCAGTGTAGTACATACATAATAATGTAATGGAGAACTAAATCTTTGACATTAGCTATATTACTGAACTGTAGTAACTGTTTTTAAGACTGGGCTCCACACAGATTCAGGAATCTTCCTATTCTGTGATTACCACCAAATGGAGGAAAAAGATCAGCCTTACTATGAGGATTACAATTCCTATTTAATATCCTTTTATTTTCTGATCTGTAGCAGGGATGAAACTCTCTGCAGCCTTGCTTGCTTAAGAATCTGTACAGAGATAATACAAAGCATTGGCATAGCAAAGAGGGAAAAAACCAGAGCTTATTAGCCTCTAAAAAATATGCCTTGGGCATAGAATAAGAGCAGGAGGAATCTGTCAGATGATGGCTGCTGGGAGTCACAAGAGCTGCCGCCTTAGAGAGAATTGCTTGCTTGTTTATGGAAAGGACTCTCCTTTAAAAACATGAATCTATTTGGTTGAGCAGAGAAATTTCCTTTGTTTCATGTAAGAATAACTAAAATGCAAAAATTCATTTTTAATGACTTGGTGGCTATGAGTTATCCCTGGAAGCAGCTATCACTGATATGGGTGAAGCAAACCGCAAAAATGTGATCTGAGCAATAATACACTTTTTACTGTAGGGACAGTAAAAAGCAGAAGGTTAACCTTGCATAAGCTATTATTATTATTTCTAGCAATAGGAGGTGTTAGCTTATAAATTCTTGTTATAAGGGAATGAAATAGTGAATATGTTTTTAAACCACAGGTGTAGGACTAAAGTATTTTTTCAGATAATTTCTATACTATTACAATCTTCCCTCTTTGCTCTAGAGACCTTACAAGAAATGCTGAAGGAGCCTGTTCACTCCAGGAATGAAATTCAGAACTCAATCTCCTGAGATTCAAAGGGATCTTTCTCCTTTGAAGTAGCATTCTGCTACGTGACAAGCCAAAGATTTATGAAACAGCAGTAGAGCACCTTAAAGAGGTACCACAGCTTGTTCTTTAGTATGCTATGTATTGCATTGGTAGTGAAAATTACTTTCTGTGATCAGTCCAATTTTCACTGTAAGAAGCCAAACATATAAACACAAAACAAAGTGGAAGTGATGGTGAAATTTATTTAACAAAACATGAAGATAAAAGTTCATTAATCAATTCTCAGTTCACATTGGGAAAGAATAGCTAAAGTAGATAATTATTTGAACAAAACAAGTCTTTAACCTTTGTAGCAGTTAATTTCTTGTACCAACACCATGGTTGGCAAAACCCTCTAGCCAGATTTTATAAGCTTTTCAGTGTCAGTAATGGCTTTCCTGAATCATAAATTACCAATGTACACAAAACATCAACCCTTCTGGAAAGACTTTTTTATAAAATCTGTTGCACAGATCAATGTCAGGAAGTAGAGATTTCGGAGCATGTTCTGAAATGCTACGTATATAGCACAACAGCTTTCACGGTGGTCATAGCCTGCTGAAATCCTGTTTCCGCAGAAAACATTACCCAAATCCTATCTATTTTAATGAGATCAAGATTTCAGTTACTGGTTTCTAAAATTTATGGGTACTGGTCCCATGAAAAGCACATTCATTGAATTTCAAACACTGTTCTTCTTTTGGTTTGGTTATAAATATTTTAATACCCCTGAAGAAACATTGTATGATTGCTTCAGTGACCCTAGGGACAGAGACAGTGAAATCATATCTAAAAGGTACTGTTACTACAGAGAGATGGATTGAAATGGAAACAAAGTAAACTCCAGTCATTTTATTGTATGAGGACACTGCTGCTTACTACCAAAAAATAATATAGAAACATAGCAACAAATTCAGAAGTGCCTGAATAAAACTGAACTCCAAAAACCTCAAGTTGCCATGTAATTTTATCTGCTCAGTACTTACATTTACATATCCTCTCAATTTAGTCAAATACTTATTTTATATGAAATCCCTGACATGACCTCTCAACCCAGAGAGTTGTAAAAATATGCGCCCCTTGCTGTGTTTATATCTCATTTAGAGATATAATTATTACCCTATGACACACACACAAAACATTCATCTTGACGACCTAAGAGGTTCCTTCCCAACTTCTTCACAGGCTGAGAAATTCTCTTTGACAGTCTTTGCCAGAGATCAAAACTGCATTCTACAGAGATCACGTACCTCCATCCTGCCAAAAGCCTATTATGCTTCACTATGAACCCTGCCAGTTCAGAACATCACCTGAGGATGAGCCCAGGGTCAGCCTGGCTGTCTCTAATGGGAATACTGGGAGGCACCTGACCTCCACAGTCCATTGTGTAGTCCTGGTTCTGGGTGCAGTTTCCCAATTTCACATCAGAACAAGGCCCTGTGTGTCATTTGATGGCAACTCAGAAGCATGCACAGGAATATCTTTTCAATTTCTTCCTGAATTACCCTGCCTCTCTAACATCATGTTCACTTTCAATTATCTGTAGATTTGATTTCAATACTAATAAAAAGTTATTTAGCTTTAGCACTTTGCCCAGCTTTAAGTTCATAAATGTCTTTTGGCTTTCAGGCC